GGGTCGCCTCGGGAAGGAGGCGGCGGGGCGCGGGCGGCTTCCAGAATGGCCCCTGCTCCTTGAGGGCAGCTGGTGGGCATCCTCCTCCACCCTCTCTTTTCCGTCTGCGTAGGCAAGACAGGGATAAGTCCAAGGGGAGCATCCCATGTGCCACCTCAGTCTCACTCTTGGGGGACATTATAAGCAATGTAAGGGCAGTACCTGAAATACTCTTTCCTTCTTCCCACTTGACCAAGATGAGGCCGTGCAGAGGTGTGTTTTCGTCCTGGCAGGCCCAGTGGCTGCGGGAGCAAATGGTGCAGGGTGTCACCCACACTTGTGGCATGGGGAGCTGCCCGGCGGCTCCCGCAGGGCACGGGCCAGCCCGCGGGGCCAGGCTGTGCGGGCAGCGCACGGCAGGCAGGTGCCAGCGCTGGCCCATAGGGCACTGGCTTCATGCTGCGGCCAAACACCACCATGAGCTATTGGTGCTCCCATGTGCAAAGCACATCTTTGAACCTTCAGAGGTTGCTGTGAGATACCTACATGTTTGAAAATATCAAGAGAAGTTTTAAACTAATTTTAAAAAACAAAACTGGCAATGACAACTAACAGTGGTAACAGTGCTATCACACAGAGACTAAGAAGTGAATTTAGGCTTCATAAGCACTTCTCTCTTCAAACTTATAAAAGAAAAAACCTCAGTGTACATGAAATGCTAACTCTGGTGGTAACCTACTGTTCCTTGCTCTGTTCTCTTTAACAGCATTTCAAACTGAAATGCAAAAGAATGTTACAATAGACCAGAGCTCAATATATAAGGTCTTTTAGTTCCTAGCATCACACCACCCAATTAGCAGTAGCTGTTGTTACAGGGGACCAGCTTTCCGCTGGAAGATGGAAAGAGTAACTCTACCCTCAGGAAGAGTCCCTCACTCTTATTTATAATAATTGTCATGCTTCAATTGCTCCACGCCTCTCCTAGAATGACTCAGATAAATTACACTGGCAAACAGACATTTACTCTTCCACCACAAAGCTACAAGCTTGAAAAGATGTTTGGCCTCCTGAGAGGCTGGAGGAAAATACAGCCGTTAAATTACAACTGTCAGAAAAGGCACGTAAGATAAATCATGCTTGAGGTTGACATATGCATCCCCTGCAACTGCCTGACATACCCTAGATATTTCAAGCTTTCCCCATTTTTTAGCTGATTTATAGAAAATGCTGAATGAAAGTGCATTCATGAGGCATTTTCCTCTAGGAAATAATTCTCACATAATTTTAAGCAAGAGGAACATATTAAAGGAACATGCTTTAATTAAAGGACAGAATGACTCAGGGTTTCAGTAGTCAGATGTGCAGGCTTTCATGTTTAGGTTATGGGTTAACCAACTAAGACAACTCTCCAACTCAAGAGATATGACATCCAACAGATTACTTGTCAGAGTAAAATACCTGGGCAACTTTAGTTCCACTCCAAACAGCTGGGTATTTGTATCACAAAAAGCATCATTAAATTTAGATTACCACATGCATTTATAGTTCTCTTGACGTATCAGCAGAGAGGAAACTGAAATACAGCTTCATTCTTCTCAGGCAAATGAAGCCAGATCAGCTGCATTTGCACTGAAAGCTGTCTAAAACCTCAGTGATGATAGGTTAATGTGGCTGAGCTGCACAGGTTGTAGCCTGCTTACATGGGCTGGAACACAAACTCTGGTAAATTCAGGTTGGTCCAGCCAACTGTATAAAAAAAATGCTGCTAGGTTTATAGTTTGTTGATTTACACCAGGGTTTTATACTCCATTCTCACCAACAAGAACTCTTTTCTCAGTACCTCCTCAGTCACCAGGTCCAGTATTAAGGAATCTTGTACTTCCATGAAATACCCTACAGAATCCCTGAGAATATATATCTCCTTTGAGAAATCGACTGTGAAATTTTCTACAATCAGGGCAAGGAGAAAGGGCAATGTTATGCACCATTTTAGAAATAAGCAGAAGGCAGGCCTCAGTCTAATTGGAGGTCTGCACATCATGACACCATACTGATATGCAAGAGCAGCTTGACCTGGGCAAAGTGGTTACAAAAATGTTTCTGCAACATGTTCACAAGCATGAAGAGGCAGACACTTTTGTTCACAGGGATTCTGAATATGTATATACTGCTCTTAGATACTTCAGTTTTTAGGATGAGCAGAAACTCATGTTTTAAAGCATGGCAACAAAAAACCAAAGGCTTGACTGCCTGTGACAATCGAAGTCCTTGTGGAACTTCCTATCCTAGCGTGGTGGAGATTTCAGAAACCTGGCTACTCACAGGACAACTATCTTGCAGGAGAATGCTTTGATCTTGTCAGAAAAGATGTTGCAAGCTGGGGTACTCCCAAGGCCTGCATACTGATAGTTCAGTGTCCTCTGACACCACTAGAAGACCGTTCTGTCTGAGTGCTGGCACTGCTGGACAACTTGAGGTCACATCAGAGGAATGTCTGAATGTTATTTATCTTGACAAGATACAGAAAATCCCTGCAAGATAGATTAGCAAAGGATCTTTCTCCAGCACTTCTGCACCTTCAAAAATCATGTTTAGCAAAAAGTATGTTTATTCATTCTGACACAGACCACAAACCAGAGCCATTCCTCCCTCATGTGCTAGGTCAAGGCAGGGGATCCTTGGGACAGTACCAACCAAACAGGTTTGACCACCAAGAAAGCACAAAGAATGGCCTGCAGAATCCCCTGAAATTCTCCTTACTATAAGAAATGTAAAAAATCCTGTAAAAAGGCAGTCTGAAATTTCTGCTGCAATCCTCAAACAAATACTCTATATTTTTAATTTTTTTTTTCAAGATTTACATCCATTGTAGCATGCTCTTACCTGTGTCTTTAACTAATACTATGCAAAATATGTAGGGAA